CTCCGAGCCCGGCCTGGCAGATTCAAAAGTATGCAATTGTTTGCTTCAGCTCCAAACTCCACGAGCTATAAGCCTTCAAACCTTTAAAATATTCCTATCTCTGTGGGTCCGAGTTTTGGAGCTCTGTCCTGGCTCTTTTTTGCCTGGTATTCTGTGTTATTGCTGACGGTGACCTTCACTACACCTCCACCTTAGCCGCCATCAAGCCCCGCCTCCTTGCCATTCCATCTTGCTAGAGGTCTTCCTCTTTTTCTCTGACCCTCCACCTTACCAAACATGATATCCTTCTCCAGCAACTGGTCCCGCCTGCCAATATATCTGATGTATGAGAGATGAAGTTAGGCCATCTTGGCCTCCAAGGAGCACTCTGGCTGCACTTCTTCCAGCACAAATCTGTGTTGTTCTTTTGGCAGCCCATGTACTTTCAGTATTCTCCTCCAACACCATAACTCAAAAGCATCAATTCTTCTATGGTCAAACTGACAGACGAGTGGTGGGACCCCAGCTATTAGTGACCCTGTATAGAGTTTCTGAGCAGTGACTGGTAGGTTTGAACTGATGATCTTGTGGTTCAAACCACCTTGCAGTCCAGTGCTTATCCTACAGTGCCACACATATTTCTCCCAAATAACTTTGACTCCTTTTGTCAAAAGGCACCATTCTCTTACATTCACTTTAATGACAGACACTTTGGTAATCACTCCCAAAATTGTATAGAGTGGGAATGAGGGATTTGTCTTTATGCCAAGTATTGGTAAACAAAAGATAGCTTTAAGTTCAGTATGTATTACATGAGACTTCTAGAAATGTAAGCCCATTGATTTGAAGAATCTTTCATATTTAGGTGGTTTTCATGAAAATCCATCTCCAACAAAGCACACTTTAGTAACAGCTGTGGAAGCCCTGCGGGGGCAGATCTACTCTGTCCTATACGGTCGTTGTGAGTCAGAATTGGTTTGATGGCAACCGGTTTGGTTTGGGGTTTGGTACGTGTTTTAGATTGACTTTTTAATTATGAGAATGTTGTTTTAACTCTTAGTGTTTTAAAAGCAGATAATTTAAAAATGATTTACAGTTAAACCATAACTGAAATGTTCCGTTTTCATTTAAAATGATCAGAAAGGGAAAGAGCAAATAAAGACAAAACAGCATAAAACATGAATGCGTTACCAAAACAAGTCATGTGCTTTCAGTTTATAAAATGCCCCAGAGACAGCCTGTTTGCGTAAGTTAAATTAGTAACATCTCAATTGTTCCACATGTCAGGAAAATGTGATGTGTGAAATAATAAGAAAATTCTCATTAAATATTTACTGGGTTCATTTGGGAGTCTAATGACTTGTATTTTTGAAGTGAGCTAGATTATGGCCTTGCTTTGAAGCAAGCTGAAAAAGCCTTAAGAATTATGTAGCATTTAGATTGCCCTCTTGGCTTAATATTAAGGAAATTCGTTCACATACTTATGCCTTCATCATTGTATCACTCATGTGCATGATTCATCTTGAGCTACTTGTGCTTGCTTAGCCTTGAAGGACTTGAAGGATCTTTGCTTTTGAAGCACATTTGTGAACGTTTTTACAGATGTTTTTGACTCTGGCTTTCCTTTCTGCTAGCTGTATGCTCTATTTTGGTTCACAGGATTTTCTTCTCACTGTTTCCTCCTACCGATTGTTGCTTTCTATCTTACCTTCTCTCCTGGTCCATTTCTTCAGTTCTTGTTTTGCCATATTTTTAAACTCCCCAATTCTAGTGTTCTTCTAGGGCATCTGCCTGGTAAAATGCTAACAGTGGTGTGTTCTCCAGTTAGCCACCTCTTGCCTACATTCTGACATGAGTAGGGCTGGAGAAAATGCACAACCTCAAAGAAGCTGTGGTACATTCATGGTTTACCCTCAACAGGTGTTACAGTATTATCTAATAATCCTTTATGGGGTTTTTATATATTTATTTTTAAATTTTCCAGTATGGTAATTTCAAATCTAGTCATATATATTCAAATCTAAGATTTAAATGGCTTAACTCTCATAAGATGACTTATATGTCACAGAACAAAATTGTTGTGGTTAAGTGCTGTTGAGTTGGTTCTGACTCACAGTGATCATTTTATATGGTTTTTGAGGAGTGGCAGTGGGTTTGAACTGCTGACTTTGTGGCTGGCAGTCCTGTGCTTACTTTACAGTGCCATACCAGGACCCCTGTAGAACAAATGTTGCTGTTAAGTGTTGTCTAGTCAGTTCCAACTCATAGCGAACCTATGTAGGGTTTCTGAGGAGTGGCTGGTGAGCTTGAATCGCTGAACTTGTGGTTCAAACTGACTTTGCAGTCCAGTACATTAACCCACAGCGCCACACCAGGGTTCCATAGAACAAACAGAAGCTAATATATGGGAACTTCTCTTCTTTCTGCCATCCATTGTAGTCTTACCTGTAACTCCGTCCATCTATTCTTTTTTCTTTCTCACCTGCTTTAGTGGAAGAAGTGTAGCCAGCCCTCTAAGTTTAAGACAGAATCCCATCTACATGCATTTTATGTCCTGTCTTCCAAAGTTTTAAGGGAATACTTTTTTATTGTCTTTTCTTGTCTCCTTTGCTTAAACTTTATTTTATTCATCCCTAACAGTTTTTAAACTTGTTCAAGTACTTCCTATGATTTTTTTTTCCTCCTAAGCTCAGTCAGTTATCCTTTCTAGAAATGTTAATTAAATGCATTGTTATCAGTAATTATCATCTTTATTCTACACTTTATTGTATTACAATGTGTTTCTGACTCTATCATTCCATTAAATTGATCTTGCTATAATTACCAATAACTTTCTGACCACTAAATTTATCAGACTTTTGTTTTAAATTAATTTTACTCGTGTGTGTAATAAATTGCATGCTGGTAAACCACATTTTTCCTGCTGATGTAATTTTTTTCTGTTTTTGGATTAAAAATTTTTTTTTTATGATTTCATTTTATTTCCACTGTTGGCATACTGTTTATTCCTCTGTTTTATTTTTATATTGCCTACTTTTTAAGGTTTACAATATGAATGTTTAACTTAGAAAGTCTTTCTTTAAAATAATAGTGTACTTCACATATCATGTAAAACCATTGTAACAGCTCACTTCCATTTCTTACTCCCCCTCTATGTTTGGTTGCCATGTGTTTTACTTGTACATGTGTTGTTGTGTGCCATCACGTTGATCCCAATTCATAAGCTCATGTGACAGAGTACAGCTTCCCCATGTGTTTGTTTGTTGTTTTTTAAATGCTTTATTGTGAACTATGCGATAGTTTATATGGGAGAACATTAGCTTTACATTCATCCTATTCTATAGGGTTACAATCCCCTCCATGCATTGTCAACCAAAGGATATACCCTGCAAGCCTGTCCCCTGGTCGTCAGCACACAGTCCCTCTCCCTCTCTGGGTTCAGAGTCCCCAGCCGCTCTATCTCCCCAAGTCAGCATCTCTGCCTCCATCTCTGGCATCATTGTTTCTCTGGGTAGGGTCCCGCACTCCACTTTTCTTCCCTGATGATCCTAGGGACCTTCGGGACTGCAAAGTCCATCACTCCCCTCCTTTTGCTACAAAATGTCCACCTTTACATTTCCACCCATGTGGTTTTCTTGGCTAATCTTTATGAAAGTAGATTGTTAGATCTTTCATCCACAGAATTGCTGGGTAGATTTGAACCACCCACCTGTGATTAGCAGCTATGATCTGTTTTGGTTCCTCCTTCCCATTGTGATGATGGTGGTGGTGGGGGTTAAGTGCCTTAAGTCCCATCTGACTCATAGTGACCCTGTATAGACATTTCAAGGAATGGCTGCTGGTTTGGACTACCAGCTTTGTGGTTAGCAGTCTGGTGCTTATTCTAGAGCACCACACCAGGTAGGGCTCATCTTATTTTGTTTCCTTTTCTCAAGGGTGGCATTATTCCATTGCTTAATACCATTGTTGGAAAATCCAAGGGTACTTCAAAAATCTAGATCTCTTATCTTTTCATTCCATTTTCCACTAAGTTTTTGAAACTGCTTTGTATGTAGAGAGATTAAAATTGAGATTAATTTACTTAAAGGGATAGTTTCACGCATCTGTGGTGGCTTGCAATTCCAAAATCCGTATGTTAACAAGCTGCACACTTTTGCTGGCTCATGGAATCATGGGAGAAGAGGGGACTAGCAAATTCAAAATCTGTAGGTTAGTTGGCAGATCGGAGACTTTGGCTCACAGGATTGTGGGGTGGAGTTAGTGCTATCAAGTTCAAAATATGTAGGTTAGGTCAGAGGACAGAAAGAATTTAGAATGGAGAGAGAGACTGAGTTCTGCCATAATGCACACAGTAAATGGCATTATCATTTACTTAGTTACTTTAACAACTGTTATTGTTAAGTTCTGGTTGAGCCCATTGCTGTTGCCTCTGTGTCAGTTCATCTCCTTGGGGTCTTAGTCTTTTTCACTGACCCAGCACTTTACCCAGCATGCTATTCTTCTCCAGGGACTGTCTGTCGTCCTTATGCGCCATCATCGAGTCAGATCTGACTCATAGCGATCCTACATAATAGGGTTTCCGAGGAGTGGCTGGTGAGATTGCACTGCTCCCCGTGTGGTTCAAACCAACCTTATGGTCAAGTGCTTATTCTACTGCATCACGTCAGGACTCCTTCAGGGACTGGATCCTCCTATTAACATGTCCTAAGTATGAGAGATGATGTCTCACCATTCTGGCTTCTAAGGAACATTCTGACTGTACTTCTTATAACACAGATTTGTTTATTTTTCTGCCAGTCTGTGGTACTTTTAATAATCTCCTGTTGTTGTGTTGTGAAGTGCCATCAAGTCTGTTCTGACCCATAGTGACCCTGTATAGGGTTTCCGAGGAGCAGCTGGTGAGTTTGAACCGCCGAACTTGCAGTTCAAACGGCTTTGCAATCTGGTGCATTTACTCACAGTGCCACACCAGGACTCCTGAAACACCATAAATCAAATGTATCTGTTTTTCTATGGCCTTCCTTATTCACTGTCCAATATTCACATGCATATGAGTCGATTGAAAATACCATGGCTTGGATCAGGCGCACTGTAGTCTTCAGACTGATAATCTTTGACTGCTTCTTCCATGAGTGTTAATAGTGGATCCAAGCAAAATGAAGTCTTTGACAACTTCAGTCTTATCTCCATTTGTTGTTAAATGTTGTTGTCGAGTCAGTTCTGACTCATAGTGGCCTTATGTAGGGTTTCCGAGGAGCAGCTGCTGGGCTTGAACTGCTGACCTTGTGGTTTGCAGTCCAATGCTGATCCTACAGTGTCACACCAGGAGTCCAATTCTCCATTTACCATAATTTTATTTATTTGTCCAGTTGTGAGGATTTTTGTTTTCTTAACATTGCAGTCCAGTGCTTATCCCACAGTGCCACACCAAGACACTATTTTTTGCCCATAGAATCCTTCAGTATTGCAAAGTTGAGGTTTTGAATTTTTTCTTCAGTTCTTTTAACTTGAGAAATGCTGAGCATGTTTTCCCTTTTGGTTTTATACCTCCAGGTCTTTGCACATTTCTTTATAATACTCTGTCTTCAGCTGACCTTTAAAATCTTCTTTTCAGCTCTTTTACATCCTCATTTCTTCCATTTGCTTAAGCTTCTCTATGCTCCAGGGCAAGTTTCAGAGTCTTCTGATATCGCTTTGGTCTTTTCTTTGTGTCCTGTCTTTTTAATGACAATTATGCTTACTTCTGTATGATGTTCTTGATGTCATACCATACCTCTACTGGTTTGGGTCAATATTGTCTACTGCATTATATCTGTTCTTAAGAGAGTCTCTAAATTCAAGTAGGATGGATATATTCAAGGTCATATTTTGGTGCTTGTAAACTTGTTTTAATTTTCTTTAGCTTCAGCCTGAGCTTGCTTATAAGCAATTGATGGTCTGTTCCACAGCCTTCCCTAGTCTTGTTTTAACTGATGATATTGAGCTTTTCCACTGTCTCTTCCCACTCTCAATTCCATGTGTGTGTATAATCACTTTTTAATGTTGTTTAAAAGTGGTATTTTCAGTAAAAAGTCATTGTTTTTGCAAAATTCTGTCATGTGATCTCCAGCATCATTTCTATCACCAAGGCTATGTTTTCCAACTACTGATCCTTTCTGTTTCCAACTTTGCGTTCCAACCATTAGTAATCGCCAGTACATTTTGATTGCGTGTTTGATCATTTTAAGCCTGAAGAAGTTGGTAAAATTCTTCAATTTAACATTCACTGGCTTTAGTGGTTGATGTGTAAATTTGAATAATAGTGGCATTAACTGGTCTTCTTGTAGGTGAATGGATATTTTCCTATTACAGAGAGCATTATACTTCAAGATCTTGAAAAATTGAAAAACTCTTTTTGAAAATGAATGCAGCGCCATTTCTCTTGAATTTGTTGTTCCTGGCATGATAAACCATATGATTTGTCAGATTCAAAATGGCCAGTGGCTAGTACCACAGATCTTTTTGCATTCCATGTAGTTTTTGACAGCTTCAAAACTTCCTAGATTCATACTTTGTACATTCTATGTTTTGATGATTATTGGATGTTTGCAGCTCCCTCTTCTCATTTTGAGTTGGACTCCATCTGCAAATGAAGGTCCTGCAAGCTCTGCTCCATTCACATCATTTTGGTCAATTCTACTTTGAGGAG